ATGTCGCTTCTATTAAATCTCGTTTTAGCTTTAAAGTACTCCCATTGAAGGCTCCATGGGGCTCTACCGTTGAAATATTCCGTAATAAATTACAGACGTGTCAAATTCAGAATTCAAGATTTCCGTAAGGATCTTCCTTTTCGTAGTGTGTCTCATGAACATAATCTTTGTCCACAAAAGTAATACCAACCTCTTTTGAACTTGTTTTAGTAATGTGTCTTCGTTTTCGTGATAGGTCTTCGTTTTCGTAGGGGGATCTTCGTTTTCGTGATGGTCTTCATTTTCGTAGGGGGGGTCTTAGGTCTTAGTTTTCGAAAAATGGTGCTTTTACGCCAATAGCATTTATCCATGTCTTGAACTTGTTAGCGTCCAGTATTGAAGCTCGTTTTCAAAAGACATTTTCCTCGTCATAAACTGCTGCATAGATGAGCCGCAACCAACGAGAAAATGCGAGAAAGTTAAATCACTGCTAGGTCACGTTACCTTCAATTATAACGTCTTCGTCGTGTTTAAATATTTTCTTAATGTCCGTGCCTGTTTAGAGATGCTTTTTTAATCACCTTGAACGCGCGCTTACTAACGAGTTTGATGTCTACCTTTGCAATGAGTGTGTGAAGGTTTAGTTGTTTTAAACCTTAAAGCTCTGTTGAAACAAGTACAAGTCCCTTCCAGAGTGCGACAAAGCTGGTAACAAGCCAGGTTACAAAACGTTATAGGCGTAGTATAACATCACGCCGTCTAACTGGTACTTCTTGTGTTAACAGTGAAATTGCACTTGAAACCCATATTGTTTTGTCATATGTATTTCTTGAAAAAAATAATGAAAAAACCGCAGTTTTTGCTCCCTGTGTTCTCTGGCGAGGGATGTTTTTGTGCCATTCCAAAGCTGGCGGAGATCTAAAAGTGATTTTCGTGCGGGACCCAATCGAATTACATGACCTGAGAATTTCCTGCTTAAGTTTGTGCAATTGCCCTAAGTGTGATCAGTTTTTACAAGTTGTGACAAAACGAATATTATTATCACTATACATAGATTGGGACCTTAAATTACTCGAAATCATTATAAAATTTTAAACGAAAAAAATCTAGACTAACTTACAAGCAGGAAAAGAGTTTTCGATCAGGGCAGAAATAACATTCGATTCCTATGATATTAATAATGCACAAAAGTGATGAATAACTTAAGATTGACCAACGCTCGCGGAGGGCACTCGAAAGGAACGTTCAAACGAGCAGATGCTCGAGTGAGAAAGCTCTTTTTCACGGAAGTGCGCGCATGAACTTTGGTTGAGGAACGACAAGTGCGGGATAGCTACTCGACTCAACATAATCTTTTTATGTTGTAGGTGGAACATATTGATCACATACAGGAGCTGATTGATTTACGTGAATCTCATTTGACAGAGTGCTTTTAAGAATCAAGGTTTTGTGGTTTAGTCCTCGATCCAGAATCAGGGTGGTTATGTAACTTCCAAATTATTGGCTGTCATTTTGCTTAAAATTTTCAAAAAGGCTGGCTAAAAGACTTTTTTTTGTAACAGTTTTTTATCTTACGAAAATGATTAACTTGTAACCACCATGTCAACCACTATCGTACACAGAAAAACTTCGTACGGGATTTGAACCCATGACCTCTGCAAAAACGGTGAAGCGCTCTACCAACTGAGCCAACAAGCCAACTGGTCATTATGTTGAATCCAAACAAATAGACCTATTTTGCGAGCTAAAAGACAATTGGCTACTTAAATGGATTTCTGAAAGTAGTTTTCAATATTCTTTCTCCCTGGATCAAAGACAAGGTGAATCTTACCTATAGTAATCTTTCTTAATGTTTGGAAGGCATCGCTTGAAAGTTTTCGAAGTTGCATTCCAGATCTGTCATAGAACAAGCTCTTTACCGTTTACTTTGAAGAATTGTCGATTTACTTTTTCACGTTGATCGTTTAATGTGGATAGCATAATGTTGTTGCTTTGGGGAGCTAAGGTTGAAAAGAAAGAAATTCCCCTTGAATTACTTCATACGTGAATCCTTTGAGGAAGGAGCTAGTTTGGTGGCTTAAATTCGAAGACGATTAAAACGTTGAAGTTTGTCGACTCGCTTGACTTTAAGGTTGCTTAATAATAATTGTAATAATAATAATAATAATAATGCAACCATTTCTATATCGCCCTATTCTAGAGCTCTAAGGTGCTTTACAGTATAATGTCTAAAGCAGTAACTTAGAAAATATATCAGAAAAATACTAGAGCAAAACAACAAATGAAAATAGCGCTTAAAAAGATAGGTTTTAAGGTTACCTTTAAAAGATGTAAGATTTAAACTAAATTTTACATGTTCTGGAAGATCATTCCAAAGTTTAGGGGTACAGACCGAAAAGCCACACTCACCATAAAATTATAACCTCGATCTAGGTGTCACTAACAAGTTCATGGTTGATGATCGTAAATTCCTAGATGGCTTGTAAGTTTGCAACAAATCACTAATATAGCTAGGACCTAAATCATTTAAAGATTTAAAGGTCAACAGTAGAATTTTAAAAGCAATCCTCTACTCCACGGGAAGCCAGTGTAGTTCTCTCAGTAAAACAGTAATACGGTCATATTAAAAACCACATAAGATTAGACGCACCGCACAGTTCTGAACTAACTGAAGTCTATAAATCAAGTATTTCGGAAGTCCATATGAAAGAGAGTTACAGTTGTCCAATTTACATAATCACGAAGGCATGCACTAACATTTTGGTGCTCTCAGCTGATAAGAACTTCCTGATACGAGAAATATTACAAATGTGAAAAAGGCGGATTTAAAAATGGCAGCCCCTTAAAGTTTCATAATCAAATTATTGTCAAAAATAACACCTATGTTGCTGGCAGAGTGAGAGGGATTTTTAATTGAACCATCAACCGCTGTGAAAGAGACTGGAATTGCAGCCAGAGTCCTTCACATCCATTCTTCCTGACATCACAAACGAAGCCCGCGAACCTTGCATATACTTTCCTTTCCTTTCCTTCGTAGGTATCACCTAAATGTTTCTCTGCTTCTTTTCCTCCTCAGCTGAGCTGAAAGTCGAAGTGACTCCAGTGAACAGCTATGCGATGGAGTATTCCTCACTCAAAAAAACCTGCACTGCTTATGATGAGGCCAATGTAGAGATGCCAAAAAGCATCCAATTTATTGAAGTAGATGATTACTCGAATAAGAAGAATTTAAACGATAAGTGCGGCAACCTTAACTTTACAACAGCACGAGAAGGTAAGAAACCTCGAAAAATTTGTAAACTATGCTTAAACTGGGAGAAATCTCAGTTTATCAAGACAATTCAACCATAGGTTACTAAGAACAACAGGGTTTTCTACTTGTCAGTTACCTTTGAATTGGAAATATAAATCACAGACGTTTGGTATTACTTGGTCCTTAGATTTGCTTCAGGAAACTGAACAAGTTTAGTTTCTTAACTGTGAAAACTGCCACAGTTTTATTTTGAAAATGATGCCTACCACATTCTACCCCCACATTCATTTACAAATTATATATAAATATATATATATATATATATATATATAATAAGCTCAGCTATGCACGCATTCTGATTGGTTCTCACTTATGATCTAATGGAGGACAGACGTTTAGATGACGTCATCATTAAAACCTTTTTTTAATTCTTTATTATATAAAACAAATAGATTCCAAACTGCGCTTCGTGTGCCACTTTTTTGTTCTTACCACATTTTGACTGTGATCTGTTAAATATATGTATTACTTATTTTGAAGTTGACTGCAATAAAAGAAGGGCTCATGAAAAGTTTCATGTCTCAGCTCCTTTTTCTTTACTGGCAGACAATGGTCGCAAGCTCATAGTTACCATGACAATCCTCAACGTCACAGAAAAGTACGAGTTACGAGGGGGCAGTTACCGATGCATCGCATACGCAGGGAACAGTAGTAAAACCGCACAGATTGCCTTCCATATTTATGTAATTCGAGGTATGTTCTTTAATAAACAGCTAGATAAAGTGATTTTCAAATTTAAGTAAAAGAGGTTCATACTTGTAACTGTTTCTATAACCCCCGGCCAAAATAGCACCCAAAAAGGTATTTGACTACGCATGCAGGACACTTACTCAAGCAACATATTAATGCATCACCGAGGATAAATCGAACTTACCTCTCTACCTCGAGCTTTAAGTAATTTCCTTGGAAGTTAACTTTTCGTCAGTTACCATCAGCTGACTTGATGTCTTTGTTATCTCCGATTATTTTCCGTTTCGATAGAAAGGACAAGTTGGTGAGGTTCTGCTGTAAATAATTCCGTATGCATTTAGTGATCAGTTATAATAACTTCACTCACTGTATGTAGTGGTGACTGGGCTTAGATATTATTAGTTATAATAACTTCACCCACTTTATGAAGTGATGAGTGGGCTTAGATACAATTAGCTATAATAACTTCACCCTCTGTATAGTAGTGACTGAGCTTAGAAATAATGAGTTATAATAACTTCACCCACCCTTTCTAGTGGTGAGTGAGCTTAGAAATAGTGAGCTATAATAACTTCACTCTATGTAGTGATGAGTGAGAATTTATATAATAAAATAACAATTTCCATCAAGAGTCAAAATTGATCCTAGATTTTTTGCTTCACTATGCTTTGCGATTGGTCTATAAAACTCATGCCACCCTTGCCGCCAATCAGATGCAAAAACTAAGACCACTCACGACTTAGCCACCTGCGTGTAGCCGCACCGCAAATAGCTTGCTTGTTTAAACATATAGCGCTTATTGGCTCATTGAGATATCGTTCTTCGGCGGCTGATTGGCCGTTGAGATTTGCTTTAAACAGTACTCAGGCAGTAAGAGCTCCATTGTTCGTTTCCTTTCAGAAAGTGACATACCCAAAGTGACTGTCTCTAAATTGACAGTGGATCATTCCGTTTCCGCGACGATTTTTTGCAACATAACATTCAGGGGAAGCCAAACCACAACACTGAAAAGTTTGTGGTTGTCCAAAGACGGCGAAAACCTGACTGACACTTTAGTAGAGGACGGAATTTCAGAATTCACTTCGTTGGTTCTCGGAGATATTAGCATTAAAGATGGAGGGATGTATTCTTGCAACCTGAAAGTCCTCCTTAAAGGCAAGGTGCCTCGCGAAGTGAAAGAAACTACCTCGCTCACAAGTAAGTGCTTCGTTAGCTACTATGTTACGTACGGATCTATTTCATCATCATCCTTCACCGGGCAATACTTTTCATTTACATCCTTCTATTATGCAGTGGCTTCATTTGCCTGAATCCCCATGAAACTTCCATACCCCCCGAAAAACGGCAACCTAAGTTAAATTAGCTTCAAGGAAAGAGCTTCTTCAACTTCCTTGTTGTTCTTGTTATTATTATTATTTTCATAATTACTATTATTAGTATTATTATAATTGTTATTATCACTTTCATCAGTGATATAATTGTTATCCCTAGTTATTGTATTTAGTTGTCATATCGTTGGTGTCAGTGGCAGTAGTTAGTATTACCGGTATTGCCAGTAGCATTATCATTTCCATCAGCATTATTATTATCATTATTCTCTTTTTTTATAATCATTATGATCATTTTTCCAGTTAAACCGTGGTTTGAAAGTAAAGATGGAAAAACTGTCGCGAAGAAGTTGGGAGACGACTTAACTTTAGAGTGCGGTGCCAGAGGATACCCTCTGAAGGTGGAATGGAAGTTTAAGAGTGAGACAGACGAAACAGTTAAGACTTGTATAGGTAAGTTTGAATTGGACATAATTCGAAAAAACTTTTATTGTTTGTCAGTCAGTGGTTTGGTTCCTTCTCTGCTTTCAATCAGTCGGTAAGCGAGTCATATTGTTTGTTCAGCTGTCTATCAACCATTCTGTCATTCACCCTGCCAGACAGTCTTGTCGCCAGTCAGCCATTCAGTTCAGTCAGTCAGTCAGCCAGTCAGTTAGTAAGTCAGTCAGTCAGTCAGTCAGTTAGGTAGTAAGTCAGTCAGTCAGTCGGTTAGTCAGCCAGTCCGCCTTTACGTCACTCTATCATTCCCTCTGTCAGCAAGGAAGCATTTTGTCCGTCATCCAGTTTGGTTACTTAGTTAGTCATTTAGTTATTCGGTCGGTTAGTCATTCAGTCCGTAAGATCATTCATCAGTCTTAGATTACTAAGTCCGTCAGGTAGATCAACTGTTATGCTGATGATCAGCCAGCCAGTCAGTCAACTTGTTATATAACTACCATCCATTATCAATCAGCCAAAAGACGGTAAGTGTATCGATGCTATTTGCAACCGGTTAAGTGCACTATTCTCAAATCTTTATAAATGTTTATATTTTAGATTCTTTAGTGGATAAGCGTTACAAGGTGAGCCAGAAGGGACCTTACGATCCATATTCCTTGACCATCACAAGCTTGAGCAAAGCTGACCTTGGAGTTTATTACTGCTGTCTGTCATCAGGCTGCTCTAAGAACATTAACGAGGAGCAGTGTCAAAGCTTTGACATCGATCAAAAAAGTAAGTATCTTTAGTGACATCAAGGTTTGGGCTAATGCATAGGTACATTTCGAAGAAAAATGTCTAAAACACCTTCGAAGTACATAATTTTCTTGCAAAACAATCCTTATTATTACCTAAAGGAGATTTTCGTATCAATGGAAGAGAATTGCACATGCATAGAGTAATCTATCACTGCTCTTATGAAGAGAACTCAGGAAACATATCGTCTCGTTGCCTCGAATCCAGCTTGAGACGGTGAGCATCTTTGTGGCTTTTGTAATTGAACCAATTGCGTCTAAAAAAAACTGGATTTTAGGCTGCTTCACGAATATGTTTGTTCAGTAGGTAAAGAATCGGTCTGCTAATAGCTTTCAACGACAATCCTTAGTTTCCTGTCTGCTCGAGGCTTAACCTTTTAACTCCCATGAGTGACTAAGACATAATTTCTCCTTACAATACCAATACAATATCAACCAGATAAGTGACGAGAATAGAGAAAAGTATCAATTTGGGGATAATCAGTTGATCCAATACTAAATTCTCTGAACTAACACTATAAGAATTGTATGGTTGACAGTAAAGTGAATTACAAATTTGATCTGGGAGGTAAAGGGTTAACCAGAGCAGATCGCTGAAAGACCTCTCAAATATCATTGAAATTACGCTTGTAAAAATTTTAACATAACAGAGAAATCTGTCAACCGTCATTGAATCTCATTTTATATATTTTAAAATTTTTAAATTTTCGCTCTTTTATTCCAAAGGAGAACAAACTGCCGGAACAATGTCTGTGGTTGCCCATAACGTGTTCCTCAGTGATATTTATTTTTAGATTTAGCCATCTATTGCCTGTTTTCCAATTCTTTTTTCTTTATGTGATTTTTCCTTCGATAGAATGCCCCTCACTGGCTGCTGGCATAGAGAATGGTTATAAACACGGCCGTGGGTCCGTGGAAGGCTCCTTGGTCTGGTTTAGCTGTGCTAATGGTTATTCTCTTGAAGGAAACAAATACCTCTATTGTGATGAAAATGGTCAATGGAATGGTACA